CCTTGCATCGTTCAGTTGCGAGCAAGACTTTGGTGAATGTTGACGTTTTGCCCACAAATGAATGCCTTAAAGGTGGAGTATAAAAAGTTGTGCCTTTGTCATATCATGCTCTATTTACTTTGAAAAGGAGTAAGCGTCGAAACTGAGACAAAAATATTCAAAAGTTTAATTTGGATCGTGTTCGAGTTCTTTGGACGGTCGAAAAGTCGTTTTCAGATTTCGTCGATGTGATTTTAATCTAAAACAATCAACCACACTCCGGGCGACCTTCCGACGTCAATGAAGACGTTCTGCTTGCCATCGTGGAGAATAAACCAAAGATTTTGAAAAAATAGATTGCTAAGAGTTTGAAAATCGACATCTCAACTGCCTTTCGCCATTTGAAGAGATTAGGGTTCAAGAAAAACGACAGATTTTAGCAAATGGAAAAGGTTCAATGATACAACGACAAGGCAAAACCTTATGTTGCAAAACAGACCTTACAGTAGCTTAGAGTTGAAAAGGGGAACCTTCCTGTACCCACCATATTCCCTGAACTTGGCTCCTCCGGATTGTCATTTTTGACAGACTCTACAGAACAATTTAAATGACAACAAAATTTCTCACAACCTTCTTCCTAGAAAAAAAAACCAAAAACAAACAAACAAACAAAACAAAAAACAAAACAAAAAAAACGAAGATTTTACGAAAATTATATTAACAGGCTTGTAGAACGATGGGAGACATTTGTTCAAAATAAAAGGGTGGGGGGATCTTTGTATTTGACTATATTTTGTGTGTATGCCAAATTTTGTTTTAATTTTCTAATCGTGTACGGCGTCTTACAGTGATCTAATATTACTACAAATTTAATACCAAATACAAAAAGAAAAAAAAAGAAAAGATTTTTTAAGCATTTCACCCCAAGCAAGGCAGGAGTGCCAATATAACGCAAGGGATTACAGAGATTGCGAGCAAGAGAAAAGAGGGGAGTTTGAGAAAAGAATATAAAGAAGGACGGGGATCAGAATCAAGGCATCAGAAAATGTCGATGGACATTACATTTGAATATTTGAAGATTATAGCAATCAAGGAAGCGGGAGTTCCACTGTCGGGAAGTGCGAGAAAAGAAGCTGTTGGCGCAGAAGAGGCGGTTACATTTCGACAGTGAAAGTGTGGGACCGAGATGCCAACCTAATAGCTCGCTTAAATTCCTGCAGTTGGGCTACCAATGAAAGTAGCTTGTCAGGGCAGTTGCCATGAAAATATTTGTAGAAAAGGCAGAGGGAAGCCACAGCACATCTGTGAGAAAGTGACTGTAGGAGAGATGCCAGATCAGGACCTGTCATATTGCATATCTGTCTTTGGATTTTGTCGAGAACCTTGAGATGAACAGCGGGGCCACCAGACCATATATAACAATAATATTCAATGCAAGGACGAATGATTGGTTTGAAGGATGGACGAGAAAAACCTTCTGGCGCGACACAGAGAACCAACTTTCCTATCGATAGATGTAGCTATTGATTCAATGTAATTATTCCACCTCAGGTCAGTGGAAAGCGTGAGACCAAGAAAGAAGCGACGCTCTGGTGGAGTTAGACATCAAAAAGTAATGGGATGAAAATTTGTTAATTCTTGATAACAATTTCACTCAAAATTTTAAAGCAACGTAAAAATAGCGTTACTGTTTGGTAGTCAACGACATAGCGTGGAATACAAGCAGCCGTAAAAAAATAGTAGCAGAAAAAAATGAGAAATCCAACAGTTAGATAATAGACTGTTTAAAAAGACGAAGAAATTCTTCCAATCAAAATAAATCAGTTCCACAGAAGCAATTATTAAAACATATTCCACCACCAATAAAGGCAATGGCCTATTTATGCGATAAGGTAACAAGAATCAATGATTTGTGGCCGAAGTATCAGCTTCGTCATTATAGTTTTCGGCCGATACATTCTCTGGTCTTTTTCAAGTATACGAGATTATCCCGAAAGATTATTCGCCCATTTACATTAAGGAAAAAATAGTCTCCTTAGGACAACGGCGACTTTAAAATATCCTCGTTGGGAATCCATAAACTTGTCCCAGAGATCCTTCCACTTTTAAAAACTCTGTGAAGTTATCTTTAGATGGCAACATCTGCTGTTTTGTCACGTTCCCTTTAATCTCACCCAGAGTCAGAAATGTTCGTTTCAATGGCAATTGATAAATATGTCCATGAAATGTTGCCATGATGAATACAGTGGTAACCTAGTATGCAAAGTCATTCACCAGCACCTTATTTCCGGGGAATTTTATGTTTACGCATGCACAATAAAGTTCTTTCCGATTAGTTGTAAAACTAAATGAAGGCCATACATTCGGTAGGCGATTATGGCTCTCCACAAGTTCCTATCCTTTGTAGTTCTTTATAAAGTCTGTCTTTTCACTATCACCTCTTCCTTCTTTTGCCATCAATTTACACAAGCTTCTAATTAGGATTTTATCCTCTCGGAATTTTTTATTCAAAAAAATATACATATATGTGTATGCACCTATGTATATATATGTATATTTTTTGCATATGTATGCGTATATTTACTACTAATATTATATATATATATATATATATATATATATATATATATATATATATATATATATATATATATATATATATACACACACAAAAAACAACACACAAATATATATATATATAAGTGAAATAAATTATTAGGAGGATTTGAAATAATAATTATTAAGCAATTCATCGAGTCTAGAAGAATCCTCAACTGAATGCAGGAAGCACCGGACTGCTGTTTCATCCTATATTTGGGACACATCAGCAATGCACATCCACTACCGAGAATTGAACCCAGACTGTTACAGTACGATGCAAGCGTCATACCAAAAGGCCTCAGTGACAAAGAGTAACTAATTAGGTAGGTTACTCGATGTCTCCTTTTTGGCCATCTGGACGTCAATATGTTTTGTGAGTGTCACTTTCTCCAAACCCTCTTTCCACATTATGTGTTCAAAGCCTTTCAACTGTCTCTTTTTGATTCTAACTATAAGTATTTTTTTGCTTCCATTATTTTAAAAACTTCCTTGTTGCATGCATATTCTTGTCCTGGATATGAACATAAACTAGAACCCGCAGCAAGGCCTTTGATCAGAAGGTTTTGAAGAGCATGGAACCACCAGATCCACCCTGACCCGAGGTTATAGCACTTGTTAGGGTCCCACCTATGGGAAAATAGTTAATTCCTAAACTGGGGTCAAAACACTATGAAATTGTAAATATAGTTATTAATACGAGCAATAAATTAAAAAAGATTACCAGCAATACATTTTCGAAAAAAAAAAAATAATAATACCAGCTTTTGGAAAAAAATTACAAGCAATATATTTAAAAAATAAATATATTGACAGCAATAAAAATCATGTCATTAAATAATAACCCATTGAGGTAGATATAAATTTACGTGTTTTCTAGGTTTATAATAATAAATAATAATATTTTTTACAAAAATGTGTTGCTGGTATTAAAACTCATTTTTACACTTTCATAATACTTTGACCCAATTTTGGGGGTTAACTGGGATCCTAACAGGTACTATTACCCCGGGTCAGGATGGACACGGGAACACCAGAAATTAAGAGGTGGTTGCACGCTCCTCAAAACCTCCTGATCAGAGGCCTTGTTGTCGGATGTAGTTTATTGTCAAACCCAGGATGCGTATGTAGTTTATCATCTTGCCCAGGACGAGCAAATTTGGTATTAAAAGGAAAAAAAAAAAATTAATGTCAGATGAAAAGACAAGGGAACACTAAATGACACAGAGGCAAACTTAGAAAACACTTAAATCTTTTTATGTGTCGTGTCCTTTCAGGACGTAGGCAATCATGGCTCTCCATTTCTCCCTATCCCTTGTAGCTCTTAATAAGTTTCGTCCCTCTGCCACCTCACCAAAACCACGTTCTGTCATTCACTTACTTAAGACCGCCAGGTACGTCGTGCGTTTCTTTCCTTTGTCTCTCTTTCCCTCTATTCGTCCCCTGAGTATCATATTCTCTAGGCCCATCTTTCTCATTACGTGTCCCAGAAACTTCATCTGCCTCTTCCTGGTGTTAAGTATAAGCCTCCTCCTTGTTTGCATCCTCTCCAAAACCTCATCGTTGCTCACCCGCTCGATCCATGATATCCTTAGTATCCTTCTGTAGAACCACATCTCCGTCACCCGAGTTTCTTCTTCAACTTTGAGGAGACATTCGCTGTCGTAAAAGAAGACAGTAACAGCTCAGTACTCTTTTCTTACCAAAGGGTTCCTGTTGTTTCGTAATACTCTGCCCAGCTTTTGGAATGCGTTCTTGGCCATCCCAATACGTCTACGGATCTCAGTGTCGCACTTGCCGTCCTCTGTCAAAACACTTCTCAGATATTTAAACTTCCGCACTTGCTTGATTTTTGTGTCCCCGAATATAAACAAAGACACAATATTTAAATATTTATCCATAAGTTGATAAAGTAAAATACCATGCAAAAGAGTAGAACACTGCAAGCAGGGGATTTTCTAGAGCAATATGGAAGTCTCTAAACTCACTGTTTGACGTGCAAAAAATTTGACGTTTGTCATGCAAACAAAAAATCTTCTCGAGACACAAGCTTGACACTTATATGGGCATTTATCAAATGACATTTACAACAAAGTAACATTTGAAAAGGGTATATAATTACGGAAATGTAATTTCATCAGTTTGACCTATTACATAAAAAGGAATTAACTCCACTCGAATGACAGCGAGACAAAAGTGAGCGATGAATATATATTACTGCCCTCTTTTATTGCACAGGTGCAGATGTAGACGGAGACACACCCTACATTTCTAGAAGTTTTGCTAATGGCGCTGAACATTGTCGCTTGTCTGAATTTTAGTTATATTTATACAAACTTTCTTTAAGGCCCATATAACAATATGATTTTTGAATCTTTAGCATGCGTGAGTTTCGTTGGAAATATCGTTGGAGTTGCATTATAATGTTGCCGTTGTTTCGTAAGTTCATGTGCAAATCAGTTTTCTAGATTCAGAATTTTATAGAAAGTTTTGACATGAGCGCTTTGTGATCTTACAATAATCTTCGTAAACATACAATGGGAGTGCTAATCCCAGCGAACCTCAACGTTGCATCTTTATTTTCGTTTGTGTCGGTTTACACCAAAAAACTGAGAAAAACCCGATGCACGTTCACAAGGTGAAAATAAATGCTACTTCAAAAAGGTAAAAATAAATACCACGAAAGAAGAGAATAAACGCCACACAGGGAAATGACGACTTAACCACTGTTTCCAATGTATTTAGTTGTTTATTTCAGAACTTCATTTTTACGGTCTGACTGTGTCGGTGTCAGTCTAACTCAGGGTTTCCTAACTTAGGCGGTATCATCCACCGGTGGGCGATTTTAACTGTTGGGTGGACGATGAGCTAAACAGAAAATAATGGGCGATTGGAAATTTTGGTAAGGGATATAGGATTTTGGGTATTAAAAACGTATTTCAACATATGCTACTCGAAATAAAATATTCAAAGGAGATCTTCAAAGAACCTGTGTAAAAAAAAACAGGAGGCTAAATAGAAATAACTGTGTCACATTCCTAGATATGATATAAACATTCCTGCTAACAATGAATATTTTAATATTTCCATAGTTTTGAGAAGGGACATTAATATTCTTCAGAGGAAAATAACATGTTTTTTCGGGTATAAATCAAATGAGAGAAGACAAAGAACTACACAATTACACTATTCACATTATTCGGACTATTGCCCTCATCTTTGTCGCCGTATTTATCACAACGTTTTGGCCGTTGTACGCTCCGGCCTTCTTCAGTATCTGTCAATATTTCTGAGATGAGATGTTATGTAAACTATTTATATTATTCGGACTATTGTCTTCATCTTTGTCGCCATATTTATCACAACGTTTCAGCCATTGTACGCTCCGGCCTTCTTCAGTATCTGTCAATATTTCTGAGATGAGGTGTTATGTACATTATTTACATTATTCGGACTATTGTCCTCATCTTTGTCGCCATATTTATCACAACGTTTCGGCTGTTGTACGCCCCGGCCTTCTTCAGTATCTGTCTATATTTCTGAGATGAGGTATTATGTACACTATTTACATTATTCGTAAATTATTATTATTTTTGTATTATTATTATATTATTGTATTATTTCGTTATTATTAATGTACACTATTTTCCTCATCTTTGTCACCATATTTATTACAACGTTTCGGCCGTTCTACGCACCGGCGTGCTTCAGGTGGTTGGAATGTCGAACTGAATCCTTTTTTTCGCTCACTTGAGTAGACTGATCTAGTTCCACGTGCCATGTTTAATGGATGTTAGTTAGCAGCTATTTAATTCCCCGCTTAACCGGGTATTGAACTCACACTCTTTGGGTCCTGTCACTGGATCTAACTGTGCCATGTATCACAGAAATGTATCCTTGAGGAAATCTGTGTATGAATTTCTGGATATTATAAACCTAATGCCTTCAGCCTCATTTTTTTACCAGTGCTCATATTCCAATTTTTTTGCTGTTATCATTGCAGAAATATAGACAACTACAAAAGTATTCGCTGAAATTTTATTAGTTGCTAGTAGTGTATATTCTTTTATATTTTATAATTATGAACAAAAATCGTTTAATGTTTTGTCAACACTTTCAACGATAAAACTAACCGTGAACATAAAACTAAATTATGTATATATATATATATATATATATATATATATATATATATATATATATATATTTCAATGGTCAAGTTTACTTTCGTTTTTTTTTTAATACGTTAGTAGCAGCAGCAGCTTTTACCGCATTGATTATCGTTATTTGTTAACTCCATTTGGTATGTTTTACTGCATCATAAAGACAGTTTACGAACCAGTAACAAACTTTTACCAAACAATTTTGATATGCTTTTGAATATTTACGATACAGACGGGCGGTGGAACATTTTCCATGTGAAAGTGGGCGATGACGCAAAAAATAGTTATGGAACCTTTGGTCTAACAGATCAGTTCTTCTTTGAACTCTTACCCCAATAAGCTTTATGTCCAATTCCACATCACAATACTCGGCTGGCAGTTCCAAAGGGCGGTATCGTAACTATGCGACCTACAGTCTGTCTCCGTCAACGTTCAATCCAGGACTTAAATCAATCCCAACTGTGACCGCAAATACTATCTATCCGCAATTTGATAGGTCCTGATCCGGCATCTCGTCTACAGTTACTTTATCAAAGACTTGATGTGGCTTCCCCTTGACTTTTCTACAAATATTTTCATGGCAACTGCTCTGACGAGCTACTTTGACTGGTACCCCAAATGCATGAATTGCAGCGTGCCACTAGGTTGGCATCTCGGTCCCACACTTTCACTGTCGAAACAATTAAATGTAACCGCCTTTTCTACTCCAACAGCTTCTTCTCTCGCACTTCCCGTCATTGGAACTCCCTTCCTCTTACTTGCTTCCCTGATAACTATAATCTTCAAATATTCAAATGTAATGTCAATCGACATCTTCTGATGCCTTGATCCTGATCCCCGTCCCCGTCCCTCTCTATATCTTTTCCTCAAACACCCGTCTTTACTCTTGTTCTCAATCTCTGTAACCCCTGGGGTGCTAGTGGCACTCCAGCCTAACTTAGGGTGAAATACTTAAAAAATAGTAAAAACATTAGTCATGCATAGAAATATGTTCTTAGGGAAAAAATATGACAAAGTCGAAAAAGTTTTAGAGGCGTTAAAGTTAACAAACCATTCCTTGCCCCAGTTAACAACAGAAAGTACATCATTTTTTAGTTTTCCCACAGCCATAATGCAGCTTCACAGTGTCTTTTCTATAAATAATTCCTTGGTACTTATTCTCCTATATTAATTAGACTTTATGAATTTAAGCGCAGTACTAGATTGGCGATAAGGTCTCGTTATTTTACAGCTGAAATGGCGAAATGTAGCCGTAAGTTTTATGCTAGCAGTTTCTTCCCTTGCACTTGTTTCCTACTTTCCAGTCAACTTTGATCTTCAAAAATTCAACGACAATCGTTATCTTCTTAATTTTCGTTATTTTATTGTCTTTTCTCCTTCATAATGTTTTCTTTTTCTCTTGTTTTCTAACACGTTTGTGTCTTTGTGGCTTTATTTTCTTACTTGGGGTGAAATGATTAAACTTTTTTTCTTGTCGGCAGTACAATTATATCTCGCTTTAAATGATAATGTCAAATGCAGAAACTGATTGGACGAGATGTTTATTGAGGAGTAGAGGATAGCGTTCCTCTTTTCCCTCCCCAAATCTGTGTATTCAGGATTAGGTGGGGAATTCTGATGATATATGTATTCTTGGTTGGGATAAGAATAATGTAAATCTTGCTTCTTGGTTTATATATATATATTACATATATATATTACTCGTACATTCACCTCCCAATTCAAAATACGCAGCAGGAGCAAACAACCCAGTTTGGTCATGGAAACCTGAGAGAGGTCACGTGTTTCAAAAATGCTCGCGTTATGATATCATATGGTGCTCTTATATCTGAGGGAGATATAAGAGCATCTTAACGTTCTCCTTTCATCAATCAATCGCTGGTGAATCAAATATTGTCTCAAATTAAAGAAAGAATACTACACTGACGTGCCAAAAGTCATGGGATATGTACCTAGTATCGTGTAGGAAACCCTCCTGAGTTCGAAAAGTTAGTTAGATCCAGTGACAGGATCCAAAGAGTTTTAGTTCAATACCCAGTTAAGACAGTGGAGAACTTGAAGAGGGGAATTAACAGGAGATAACTGACAACTGACATCCATTAAAGATGGCACGTGGAAATAGAAATCTACCCCAGTGGGCGAAATAAAGGGTTCAGTTCGATATTCCAGCCATCTGCAGAAGGCCGGAGCGTACAACGCCCGAAATGTTGTAGTAAATATGGCGACAAAGATGAGGACAATAGTCCGAATAATGTAAATAGTGACTTTTTTTGGACGAGATGTTTACTGAGTAGAAGATAGCGTTCCTCTTTTCCTTTCCTCGATCTGTGTATTCATGATTAAGTGGGAAATGCTGATGATATATGTATTCTTGGTTGGGATAAGAATAACCTTGAAGAAAAAAAAAATCAACATTCTCTACCAAATATTCCAAGAAATAGGACTCAAAAATTTCCAAAAAAGAAAGTATAATATGAAATTAGAATGAAAGTAGTGATGGCGCCTAATCTGAATCTATCATAAAAATTAAAAATACTTCGAATTAATGAAGACTAAATAATTCAGATACCTCGGGGTATGGATCAGTTATAATAAAGTTAGTATAGGAGTTAAGGAGATTAGGCATAGGATTGACTGCGTTACGTGTAGTTTCAGCCAGCACCACAAGTTGCGACAAAAGTAAAATATTAACCTAAAAAGTTCTTAAATGGTCTCGTTAGATCGAGGCATTCATGTGGGTGTCATGCAAAGTTTCAGAATCGCCCCCCCCCACATATCTAAATTGTTAGCTGTATACAATCGCTTTTTAGACCGTCCTGGATAAGACGATAAACTACATCCGCGTCCTGGGTAAGATGATCAGGAGGATATGAGGAACGTGGAATCACCTCTTAATTGCTGGTGTTCCCAGATCCACCCTGATCCAGGGTGGTAGTACCTGTTAGGGTCCCAGCTCTGGGTAAATAGTTAACCGCCAAACTGGGATCAAAACACAATAAAAGTGTAAAAATAGGTTTTAATAGCAGAAATAACCCATTGGCGTCGATATGCCGTAAAACAAAACAAACCAAACCGCTGATTAGGTCAATGAATAAAAATGCTTTCCTGCGAATGAAGCCTGCAGATCTTATGGAAGACCACCTGTGAGGAACGAGAAGACTTACCTCCCGCAAATCGAATTTGCTTGGCGTGTCAGGTCCTGTTGAAAGATCGCGACAAGCATTAAAAGTGAAGTGGATTATTCCGAAATTCCTTTATCGCGGGCAGACGTACAAA